TCTAGTCAAGTAAATAAGTTTTAGCTGGGTGTGGTGGCACATGTCTGTAATCCCAGCAACATGAGGAGGCTGAGGCAAGGGGATCACAAGTCTGAGGTCGGCCTCAGCAATTTAGTGAGGCCCTAAGTAACTTAGCAAGACCCTGTGTCAAAGCTGGGGATGTGGCTCAGTGGTAAAGTGCCCCTGGGTTCAATCCCCAGTACCAAGAAAAAGAAAAAAAAAAAAAAAAGAGAAATGTTTTAGCTTTTTAGTCATATTATTTGGGTAGAGAATTTCAGTGAGCATTTAACACATGGTGACTATTATTTCTATTTCTAGGAAATACAGAATTATATAGACATTATTACATTGGCAGCATGACTTAATTCTGAGTTGGGATGAATGTTTTTAAGAAATTAAAAAAAAACTAACTTGAAAAAGAAACTTGAAGACCAGGTACTAATTTCTTAGAGGTGGTGGCAGGGTCTTTACTTATAAAGAAAGTTTGCCTTTAGGCCTTAAGGGCTGTAGAACAATCATAGTAGAGGAAACATCTTAAAGTTGAGATTTAAAATGTCAACTTTAATACACAGCCAGTGTAATTCCACATCATGTATGGGAAGTTATACTCCACGGATGTATGATGTGTCAAAATACATTCTACTGCCATATATAACTAAAAAGAACAAATTTTTTTAAAAAAGAAAAAAAAAATAAAGTGTCAACTTTCTCGTTAAATTGCTACCTTTTGAAATGGTCATTCATTGCATTATTCATCAAACAACGATTGAGTCCCTACTATGTGCCCAGAAATGTGCTAGGTGGTGCTGGGGACGTTTAAGTGAACCAAAGAGACTTAAAGTCTACTGGGGGATGTAGCCCAGTGGTAGAGCACTTGCCTAGCATGTGAAAAGCCCTGGGTTCAATTCCTAGCACCAGGGGAAAAAGCCTAGTGAGGAAAACAAATAGCTCATTATAGCACAAAATGACAGAGTGGTAAGTATGGTCGGGAAGCACCAGCTGAGCTAGGACTTGAAGAGAGACTATGGGAAGGATGGAGAGAGTGCTGAAAGCACAGGGTGTGGAATGAGGAGGAGAGAAGCTCCAGGGGAGGGAAAGAGGGATCGTGTTAAGGACTTTGTACTCTAGGGAATCCATGGAGCCCCTCCACCCATTTATTATTCTTTTTAGAACGAAGGGGATTTGACAGGTAATTAGGAAAAGCAGATTTATAGTTTAAACGGATTCCTCTGGCTACAGAGTGGGGAGATGAGATTAAATGGGGCATGACCTGAGGCAAACAGACTTGTGTGAGGGCCACAAGTTTACTTTATGAATTTGAACAAACTTTTCTCCAAACAAGAGGTAAATCACTAGTAAGTACATAACACGATGTTCAACGTCATTAGTCATTGGAGAACTGCAAATCAAAATCACAGTGAGATACTACTTTATACCCCCTAGGATGGCTACAACAACAACAAAAAGACAATTACATATGTTGATGAGAATGCACAGAAACATATATTGCTGGTGGAATTGTAAAATGGTGCAGCTGCTTTGGAAAAGAGTTAGGTAGCTCCTGAGAATTTTAAACAGAGTTGTCATCTGACCCAGCAATTCACTTCTAGGTATACACATGAAAGTAATGGGATATACAACCACACAAAACCTTGTACATGAATGTTCATAGCAGCATTACTCATTCCAGCTGAAAAATGAAAACAAGCCAAATATCCGTCCACCAAGCACAGAAAAAATGTGGGATCTCTGCATAATGAAATATTATTCAGCAATAAGAAGAATAAAAGTACTGGTACATGCTATAACATGGATTAACCTTGATGGATACATGCTATAACATGGATAAAGTCAAACACAAAAGACCACATACTGAATGACTGACATGAAACATCCAGAATTGGTAACACCATAGAGACAGAGAGTAAATGAGTAACTGCCAGGGGACTGCAAAGAGGAGCCACAGAGTGGTTGCTAATGGCTATGGAGTTCCTGCTGGGGGTAACAAAATTGTGGTGAGGATTGTGCAACTTAGCATACTAAGAACCACAGAACTGCAAACTTTAAAGGGTGAATTTTGTGGCATGTGAATTACATCTCAACAACACTGTTTATAAGACATGATGAACCATGCAGACTGGAAAAAATTTTAACACATGCTATGTTTTCTAGAACTGGACAAGCCATTGCTTATACCATTAATTTGTATGCTATTCAGAAACAAAACAAAACAAAACAAAAAAAAAACACTTTCCAAGGCAGGAGACTCATGCAAAGAGCCTCCCTGAGGTGGGGACATTAAAGGGCCACCTCCTCTACAAACCTACCGGGGGCTGCAAGGGAACTCATGGTTTCCAGTCTTGGCACAGGTAAGCAGGGTGAAAATTCTTCCTTAAACATTTGAACCACAAACTGATACTCACACAAGCTTGCAGTCTGAATAAACACTACTTTATGGCCCATTTTTAGGCCAAAAAAACCTTAGGCAGAGAATTTAATTTATAGTGGTCTCAATTTGACAGTGATTTTAAGATACCATTGAGACAGTTGAATGTACAAAAAAAGTTTTCCTTAGAATAATAAGTTAAAAAGGAGTTATATCTTTAATATGTAGAGTTCATATAAATCATCTGGAAAAATAATAAACACTCAATAGAAATGGTCAAATGTTATAAAGCTCAATTCTCAAAGGAATTATAAATGGCTAATAAAAATGACTAATGGTTGAACCTTACCCATACTCAAGATATGCAAAATGAAACAATCAGATAACATTTTTTACTTATCAGAGTAGCATAATTTAAAAAGCATAATGCTGGCTGAGAGCTGGTAAAACACAGACTTGTGGGAACCTTTAGTGGCACAATCTCTCTGTACAGTTAAGTGCATTTTAATACCATTATCCCTTTTTGGAATCTATCCCAAATAAATAATCCCTAATTTGGATCCAGAATTTGTCTGAAACTATGTTTTAAAAAAATATTAGTTAGAAATAAAAAAAAGAAACTATAAAATGCTTTATACTCAAAGAATGGTTAGCTAGATTATAGCACATTTATATAATTTTAATGTTGCATTGCAATTTTAAATGATGTTTTTATAGAACATTCAAGGATATGGAAAAGTATTCATGCTATAATGTGAAAAACAGAAGACATAAAAATTGTATACCATTATGTTACCAGTATTTATTTATTGTTTTGTGGTGCTGGCTGGAATTTGAACCCTTGCAATTGCTAAGTATGCACTCAGTTACTGAGCTACACACCAGTTTTATATAAATACATAAAGTACAGAAATAAAAATTGGTAAGCCCCAATTACCCCCCACCTCCACCAAAAAAAAAAAAAAAAAAGGGACTAAAAGAAGAACATCTTCCACTTTCAGCTAATATGCATTGCTTAACAGTGTCTGCTAA